CTATTTTTCATGAGATTAATAAAAAAACTGTTCAGTTTTACAGTTAAACATCTCAAAGTGAAGTTCTTACCAGGCAAGAAATTAAAGAGCTTCTTTACTCAGCACACTTGCTCCCTTGCAGTTTCTGAATCTCATCTGATTATTCTTGTAATGAAAGCAATTTTTCATTACATACAGACCTATTAATTTGCAGCCAACACAACTATGTGAGAAAAAAATGGCTTGTGGATTCTCTACATAATTAAATTCCTATTACAGAATCTTTTTCCCTGGTGACTAACCATTAGCCAGAAAGAACCCGTGACATCCAGGTCCCAAGCTAAGTTTGCAGGGCTGGCTGTAAGGAAAACCATCTTTACCCTTTAAAAAAAATCAAGAGACTAGGCCCAATATACCATAGCATAATCAAGCAGTTTTTCCTTAACTTGTGCTGCTTTCGCCCCAAATCAGTATAAACCATTAAGAATAAATTGTGAAAACTTATTAAATATTTCTGTTACTTTTCAGAATATAACCTCACTTTAATATTATACAATGACACAGCACTATTATATTAAAAAATTGTGTGCTCCCTACTTTCTTTCAAAGTTGCCAGGCTGTGGTTTGAAGAATGATAAGCCATATGAAGTTTCCTTAGTTCCATAGGAGAACTGGAAGGTCACTTTCTCTGCACGTCCAAGGAGATTAGGGAATTTGAGCCCAAGGACCTAGGAAGAATGGAAAATGATTTGATATCTACTATATGATTTTGCTAAAATAATTAGAGACACTGAAACACTTATGTCGCAGACAAATTTACCTGTGTTTCTACTGCAAAGGATTAGAGGTGGAGGGGTTTTTAAAAGCCAATTTAGTTGCCCATAATTAGGCTCTTCATATAGTTCTTACACTTCTGTCAGCACTGACAATGAAAATTATTGATCTCAGTATTATCTTTATTTATATAGCTGGTATTGCTTTCTGATATTCAGTACCATAGTGTATGACTTTTAGTTTTTCATGGTTTAAAAAGATGTTTTTACTGGAATTTTGAACAATTAAATTTTAAAAAATTGTTCTGGAAAAATGAAAACCCTGCATCTAACCTCAGTTGACAACAATTCTGTTTTATTTAAAGACCAAAAACTATGTGGCCTTTAATAAATGGTTATGTAGTAATATAAAAGATTTAAAATAATAAAATCACTTAAAATATATATACTCAACACAGACACAATATTACTGCTCTTGTCCATCAACAGGTGCTGATTGTTAAAACCAGGTGAAACTCAGGATTTTTAGTTCATGAGAAAACTTGATATTTTGATATTTATTTTCATTCTGCCTCCAAACAAAGCCTAATTTTTCAAAATTTTCTGCAAACCAAGTTACTGCATCAAGAACATCAACAAATGGTATTTCCAGAACAAAATATTCTCACAGGGACCCTAGCAGTTGCTGATGCAATTTGGTAGTCATGTCAATTTAACACTACCATTAACTCAGGAACAAGGGGGCAAAGACACCTTACTGCCCCAGAAGTCCTTGGGACCCAAGCCTACAGGAGAGTCCCAGAGCTGCAGAGCCTGGAGGTCAAGACTCCCCAGAAGCCCACCAGGAAATCTGCCTGGCAGGGGAAAGATTTGATCAGGAACATAACAATAATCTGATGGAAGTCTGAATAAGAGATATTTCACAAACATTTGGGAGTGGGTAAACTAAAAAATCTGAAGCAGCTCCAATGACAACATAATATATTGTTAAGTATTGGAAGCATTTCACTTAAATTTCCCTGGCTTCTCATACCCAAAATTCATTTTTTTTTTTTATATGACAGCATAACTCAGTTTAGCTGTGAAGGTAGAAAAATTATCTGCTACAGAAAGCTGCAACTGCTTTTTCTCTGGGGTGTTCTTAAAGGATGTCCTTTTAAGGAAACACGAAAAGGTGCCAAAAGGTATAAGATAAGACTAGCATATCCTATCAAATTTAAGCTGTCTTGGTCTAAAAGCCCTTGGGAAAGTGCAGAGATCAGAGATACAATATACAGTTTTATTTTTGCAATTAAGACTGTTAGGCAGCTCTTCACTATTACCACACTGATATAACAGGCTATTTATTTATTCTCAATTTCTACATATTTCAAATGAATTTAACAGGACAAACTTCTTGAATTTTGGTTAGTTGTTTGTATTTAAGCTATTTCAGTCCCCTGGAGACAAACATCATGCTTTTACAAGTCATATTTTCATATAGTTTAAGATATTTTCATATTAAGATTGTGTAGGAAGAATAACAAATATGGCAGATGACCAGCTTGACTTCAGTGAGCTTAAACACAAAAAGGAAGCTTACAAGAAGTGGAAGATCAGACCGATGACTAGGGCATGGAGGGATGAAATCAGGAAGGCCAAAGCACAATTGGAGTTGCATCTAGTGAGGGATATGAAGGGTAACAAGGGTTTCTACAAGTATGGCATCAACAAGAGGAAGACTGGGGGAAATGTGGGTCATTTACTGAATGGGGGAGGCAACCTAGTGGCAGATGATGAGGGAAAGGCCGAAGTACTCAATTACTGTACTTTTTTACCTCAGCCTTCACAGGCAAACTCAGCTCCCAAACTATCGCACTGGGCAGCACAGTTTGGGGAAGAGGCGAGCAGTCCTCAGTGGTGAAAGAACAGGTTAGAGACTATTTAGAAAAGCTGAATGTGTACAAGTCCATAGGGCCAGATGCAATGCATCCAAGGGTGCTGAGGTAGTTGACTGATGTGATTGCGGAGCCACTGGCGATTATTTTTGAAAATTCATGGCATTGGGTGGAGGTCCCAGATGACTGGAAAAAGATAAATATAGAATCCATCTTGAAGAAGAGGAAGGAGGAACCAGGGAACTACAGACATGTCAGCCTCACCTCAGTCCCTGGAAAACACATACAGCAGGTCCTCAAGGAATCCATTTCTAAGCACTTTGGAGGAGAATAAAGTGTTCAGGAACAGTCAGCATGGATTCACCAAGGGTAAGTCATGCCTGATCAACCTAATTGCTCTCTGCAATGAGATAAATGGCTCTGTGGATGCAGGGAAAGCAGTGAACGTGATTCTAGCAAGGCTTTTGATGACATTTCCCACAGCATTGTTGCAAGAAGCCAAGGAAGTATGGGCTGAATAAATGGATTGTAAGGTGGAGAGAAAGCTGGCTGGGTTGTCAGGCTCAGCGGGTAGTCATTAATGGCTCAAGGTCTAGTTGGCATCCGGTATAAAGTGGAGCGCCCCAAGGGCTGGTTCTGGGGCCAGTTTTATTCAATATGTACATTGATGATCTGGAAGACAGGATTGAGTGCACTTTCAGCAAGTTCACAGATGACACCAAGCTGGAGGTAGTAGTAGATACGCTGGAGGGTAAAGCTAACAATTCAGAGTGATCTAGACCAACTGGAGGATTGGGCCAAAAGACATCTCATGAGGTTCAACAAGGACAAGTGCAAAGTCCTTCACTTAGGGCAGAAGAATCCTAGGCACTGCTAGAGGCTGGGGAGCAACTGGCTAAGCAGCAGTGCTGCAGAAAATGTCAGAAGGAAAAATAAGCTGGATACCAGTCAACAGCATAACCTTCTTGCAAAGGCGGCTAACAGCATAATGGACCAAACTGGAAGCAGTGTTGCCAGCAGATCGAGGGAAGTAATTATTACCTTCTATTCTGCACTGAAGAGGGTCACATCTGGAGTACTGTGTCCAGTTTTGGACCTCCCACTACAGAACAAGTTGGAAACAGTCCAGCAGAGGGCAATGAAAATGGTTAGGGGGGCTGGGGCACACAATTTATGAGGAGAGGCTGAGGGAACTGGGCTTATTTAGTCTGCTGAAAAGAAGACTGAGGGGTGATTTGATAGCAGCCTTTAACTACCACAAGCAGGGTTCCAAAGAGGATGGAGCTAGACTGTTCTCAGTGGTGGCAGATGACAGAACAAGGAGCAACAGTTTCAAGTTGCAGCAAGGGAAGTTTAGGTTGGATATTAGGAAAAACTCTCACTAGGAGAGCGGTAAAGCACTGGAACAGGTTATCTAGACAGGTGGTGAAATCTCCATCCTTGGAGTGTTTTAAGCCCCAGACAGACAAAGCCCTGGCTGGAATGATCTAGTTGGGGATGGTTCTGCTTTGAGCAGGAGATTGGTCTTAGATGACCTGCTGAGGTCCCTTCCAACCCTAATTTTCTATGATTCTATATTTTTTTCCTCTACTGCTTTGTAATAAATGAAAACAAACAGAAGGAGGAGCTACTGTATGGGAAAAACAGAGAAACTTTCTGTAGGGCAGTGGTTCCCAATCTGTGGTACAGGTACCACGAGTGGTATGCAGACAACCTGCCAGTGGTATGCATTAACAGATTTATTATAATTACTTTATATGACAAAAATTTGCTGGTGGTACTTAAGGCTGAACTGAAAAATTTGCTGGTGGTACATAAGGTTGTATCATTTTAAATTAGTGGTGTGATCTGTCAGAGTTTGGGAAACGCTGCTGTAGAGGATATTTTAAAATGCATCAGAAGTGAAGAATTTTTTTTTCCTCCACTCTCATGCAACCTTGAAAATCTTTGGTATTAATTGTAACATCAATTAGTAAACAATTTTCAGACAGGACTGAAATTAAAGTTAGCCTGTTCCTTCCATTGTAATTGGCTATAAAATATGAATTCAATGCAAATATGTTTTACCATATTAGGATCTGGAAAGTCCTATACTTCTTATCATGTAACAACTGGCATTGATCTTTAAAATAAAAAAGGAAAAAGGAAAAGAAAAGAAACATAGTCTGGAAGTAAAATAACCTAGTATTCCTTCAAAAAAAGTCCATTTAAAATTGGTGTGGCTGAGAGCAAGTTGTTCAAACTTTAAGTACATAAAGCAAGGTAATTGTATTCAACATATATTTTAATTAATTTATAAAATACAACAAACAGTCCATTAATCTCCAATTCAAAACACAACCCCTCAAATGTACCTATTTGACCATTTGGCTAAATGAGAACCTGTGTATTGGACCAGATCCTGTAAAAATCCAGACATAGGCATAAGATACAAATGAATGTAAATGTGACCTACTTGGGCAGAACAAAAATTTATTCCGTTGTGTAAAAACTGCTGGATATTCTCAGTGCAGGTCCAGAATGAGAACTGTAGGGACACTGTGCATAAGCAGTATGAGGCAATGCTGTGCTGAGACATGCTATACCAGCCAGCTTCCAAACTCAAAGCAAAACTGCAACATTAGCATGGAGAGCTGCACATATGTTAGTATGTTCTGCCAACAGGCAGTTTACTGGCCCATGTGTCACGCCACATCACTTCCATTTGGGGAGCTAACAGGCACAGAGGGGATGCATCACACAGACTTATCCACGTAGGTAAGGGCTAAAACTTCTTAGCAAAGCCATACTGGAGAAATAAATTGGTTAAGATGAAGTTCTCATTTACACAACCCATAAGCTAACCTCAGGTTTGACAAATCAATGTAAGTTGCCTGACACAAAAAAAAAAAATGCAACATTTTAAAACCAGTCATACCATGCTGCCTTCATTATTGCCGACCATAGTGTTATAGCTTCCAGTTAGTCTTCTCAATTCTGTTACTTCAAATGTTACATCTAAACCATTTGGAAGGGCATCATCTCCTAAATAAACACATTTATTATTTCTTCAAGAGTCTTCTGTTTGCACAATATTGCTTTATAGCTGGATAAAAGACAATTTAAGCTAATTGAAAAAACATTCCTTTGGAATGTGAAACTAGTTGAATTAAATGCTCAAAGGAGACTGCACTATACAGAAAGCTAGCCACAGAAAAGTAGTCTTTGTTAACATCCAATTCAAGCAAAAAAGTTTGCCTTTTATAACACTGACCCTTTAAGTAATAGCTAGTATAACATGGCACTTGATACCTGCTTAATAAAAGTGCTGCAGGGTTTTAATAGGCATAGGTTTTACTTTTAGTATTAGGTATATGCGAAATAGTCAGTGGAACAATAATCCCAATATAGCATTCCAGGTGTCTTTCAGAATGCATGGTGCAATCCATTTAAAAAAAAAAAAAATCTGTGGTCAAGTTGTGTTCTAACTGAGCTATTCTACTGTAATGGTAGACAGAAGGCACCCCTTCTTTCCTTTAAGTCAGGGTTGGCAACCTAGGGCTGGCAGAACCATGCCATAGGTGACTTTTGACAATGGGGAGGCTCTTTTTGTATTCCACCTCAGTCAGCTGCCTAGGGTTAGAGCAGAGGGAGCAGCTCTGCCCATGCTATGCCATATTCAAACAGCAAGGGCTCCTGCAGGAGTGCTTTTGCCAAACCACACCATGGCTGAGCAGGGGCAACGGCAGCCATATCTTAATGATCCTTTGCTTCAAACTAACTCATTCCAGCCTCTGCCCCCGCCAGAAAAGACTGCTCTAAGCAGTTACAATGTCACACTTTTATGAAGTAATCGGTAGCATTGCAGACCTATCATTTTCAGTGACAGACTACTTCCCTAATTAAATAGGCTTTTTTCGATAATGTTGGATCAAGATTCGCTCCGCTAGCATGTAGTAGCTAAAAAATAAAACGTACAACAGTTAAGAAACCCACTATCACCTAATACATTATAATATATAATATATATTATATTGATCTTTACCAACTCACTAACTATATACAACGTATTTTTAAATTCAATGCACCTAATGATTTTTTTTCTACATCTGAAAGATACTGGAATAAGTAACAGCAACAGATTAGAAACAGTATAACACAAGTTTCATTGCTCTGCTTTCGCTATGTCTGAATGTTGACACCTAGAGTTTGCAACTAGGAAAGGCAGCACAATTTCATTATATGATTGCAAAATGAATTGCTTCAGGATTACATAGAATGTTGACTGGGAGAACAGATGACCCACATCTAACCAGTCTGTTATTTCTCTCCTGGAAATGTCTAAAAATATGACTTGGAATACTAGGGCTAATTAGTAGGTAGCACTGAAGACTTCACTCGGGAGACCAGACTGCCACGAACACTTGCTAATCGTTAAGAAAGACATTTGATTTCTATGCCAAGTGTGCATGTAATTTTTGCACCTATTTCTCTCTGTAAAGTAAGATTAATTAATAAGCCAAAACAAGAGTTTTGGAGTTCCCAAATAACACATATTATGCTTGTATAGAATTATTTATAGATACTTGTCCACTAACATAGGTACAATGATCCCATTTCATACATGCCTTTACTATCAAAATGGAAGAATCTTCCTATATGAACTCCAAAATACAGACCTCTACCATTTGAGCTAACAGAGTAACTAGCAGCAGTGACAGGATGTTATTCTATGTAGATACAATTCATATAAGGGGATTAGACACACTTTTTGTTTTGAACAAATTTATTTGTTCACAGCAAAGGAATGCAAAGACTGAGGACTTCTGGGGTTTGGTAGAAGACTATGTCTACTTGTTATAGACCGATATGCTTCTGTGTATTCAGACTAAGGTAGGCATCAAGTACAAAACATTTCAGTTTGAATGGTTGAAGTCTAACGAAGTTATAAACAACCTTAAATACGGTCTTACAGTGGAAAGTATCAGGCAACCTAAAAGGTAGGCTATGTTACGAGCCCTACCTGTAATACACACAGCTGCACATACATATGGTTATACAGAGAGAGCATTAATAAGGTTGTAAAACTTCTGAACCCAAGCTAGGAAATGCCAAACTTGAGGTTTTCTATGCAACTTTAGCTCTGTTACAAGGCAGAAGCATATTTTGATACAGTTCATTTACCAAATAATCCAGTACTATGTTTTTACCACAAAAATGTGCTGTGAATGAAAAAGGTTATATTGTGCCTAATATAAGGTGTTGCAGGAACAGTGTATGGTTTGGGAGTTAAAGTTATGAAGAGAAGCTCAAAGGATGTGGGTTTTATTGGCTCTACCACATATTTCCAGTACAATACTGAGCAAGTGTTCAAGTGTTTCTTCACCCTTGCCCTAGTTTCTATAACTATGGATGAAGAGATTTGTATTATAAACACTGACAGAAGCTTGTTTCCTCTCTCCCTTGCCCTCTCTATATAAAAGGAAATATAAATGAGACGTAATAAATCGCAGTGCTGCAATATTTACCTTGACAAGTATCAATCAGAACTTCCACTTGTCTAAAAATTCCCAGTCGAAGCAACTTTTCACGAGCTTCATGTGATTTTCTCATTACCTAGAGAATAAGATAAGGAATTCAGCCTTGAATCTCAATAGAAAATAGCTAGTATAATGGCTAAATATGCAAGGAGATCCATGCATCATTCCCAGACTTTGAAGGACATGTATCCACCTCCTGAAAGACTGATCCAGGAACCACTTCAGTAGCCAAGTGCAAGAAGATAAATTAAACACAGAGAGCATCCACTTCAAACATCTGCCTCTACTGGCTTGCTTCATAACCTTTATAAAACATTCTTTTGTATCCAATTTCTTCAAATCATGCTTTTAAAAGGTAAAAACCCACATACACCACATGGCAGGATAAGATCTTACGCATTCATCACATAAAACAACTATATACTACAACTTTGTTTTTGAAACTGTAGATAAAGTCGTATGTTAAATGCTGAGCTGAAGGTTTACAAAATGTTCTACATAAAATACTTCAGCCTCCAGTCTACAGAAAGTAACGGCTGTCTATATGGGTAAACTGACCAGCAAAACTACAACAGTATCATTAGGGCAATCAAGTTTCCAATGTTGAAAAGCTCTAAGAGCAGTATGGACAGCAGCAGTAAGAGTTCTCCAAATCACCACACCAATATTGTTCCAGAATACCCTGTTACACCCTTCTGAATGGTATTAAACAGATCCACAGTTAAGGCTGCCATCGAGAGTGAAAACTATCATAACGTATCTTTTTTTTTAAGCTATCAAATTGAGATAATCAGCTACATAAAGCATGATTCCACTCTTGACAGTGACTCTAAAAAAAGCATCACAGCATTTTAAGTTTACCACTGGTCATTAATTTTGAACCTAGTTAAAGAGAAAATATATAGCTTTTCTGTCCGTGCTGAACCTGGGATTTAAAAGCCCTTTTCCTCCTTGGTAATTATCAATAACAAAAATGTTGCATGCTAAACTATGTTTCCCAACCATTTTAAAATCTTTCAGACTGTAGATTTATTTCTCCAATTGGTATCTAATGCATGGCCATTTTCCAAGACAATGTAGTGTTTTATAAACATGCCATACTTACATCAATCAAGTTTTTAGCCCTGAAAACATCACCGATTTCATACATGATAATATCGTCTTTGGTTCTTCCAAGTCCATCAAAGTGTACATGTTGAACCACCACCTAAACATAACAGATGACTATTAACAAAATATTAAACATCTACTTAAGAGGAAATTAAAAGCTCTGAAACAGAAATAACACTGCTATCTGAATAAAGTTACAAGACTACCAGATTTATGAATGAATTACCACTAACATATATAACCAGCAATCCTAGAGCATGTGCACTTCAACAGGAAGTGCATGGAAAAAAATAAATACTTAACTCCAAATAAAGAACTAATTGTAGTTCTTGATAGCTCCCATAATTTTCAGAAATTTAGTCACAAATCTTTATCGATAAATCAGTCATTAGCTGGGGACTGCAGTAGCACAGGCACTAAGGCACACAGTTAACAACCCAGAAGTCATAAATTCAAGGCCACAGCAGAAGTATTCATAGTGTGGACTGTCAGATTGAATCTGTGAATTCTGCTAAATACCTTGTCACAATGACACGAAAGACAGAGATATTTCATTAGCTGAATCATATACCGATTAACAATTAACAAGACCAACAGTATAATAGTTGGTGTAATTCTTTTACCATTTACAATAAGCAAAGAGTTTAAATACAGAGTAAAAAATGAATGAAGTACTTGGGTAGCTATCAAATAATCCCCCACAACCTAAATACTGTAGACTAAAATACATGGTATGGTCTTTAATGCTGAGTTCTTAGATGATTTTAGCCATTTTTTCCTAGACAGCAGAGCACCTAGTTTACTGTCTACTAATGGACTATATAGATTACATCCTCATTATTTCTCCAGCTTTTTTTTGTGTATGTATAACTTCAGGCTTTCTGTCCAAAAGACCACAGATGCTTAAATATTCCCTCCCGCAATTCTATAAAATAAAGAATAGCAGCCACCTAACTTTAGCTGGCAGATCTTCAATAATAATGGTGGGCCCATGCAATGGACTAAACATTGTTTTTATTAAGGAAAGAAATGTTATCAAACTTCTAATAGGGTTTATCATGAACCAAGCCAATGGAAGAAAAGTTCTTAAAAATGGACATTCTAACAAATTCTATCATGATCTTATAGTTTTAAATGTATTTTAACAATCTTTCTCTTGTGCAAAACACAAAGGGAACACCAAGTATAAGATTTAATTTACTTCTTTTACATCCCAATTAAAACATTGATTTATGACATTCCATACAAAATAAATATATACATAAATAAATTCAGAACCTTTGCTTAAATACTCACATCCTTGTTTTCAAGAATTTCCTGTTTGGTTTCAGGTTCAACTTCAATTAGTTCAGCTTCTTCTCCTAAAGCACCTAAATCAGGTCCACTCATTGGAAGAGGGTCCAAACTCTAAACAACACAGAAAAATAAAAATGTATTTACTATTTTATAACTTAAATACTTTGCATTAAAAAGAGCTGTTTCTTCTATAGCAAATGAGAATATTTTTTCTAAATCTGGACATCCTGCCCATCATAATGAATCACGGAACCATAATACAAGGGATAAAACACTGAGAATTGAATATGCTGCTTTGCTTAAAAAATCATGCACGCTTACTAACAGAGTTTTATTATACAATAAAGGATTTCCAGGATGAGTATTTCCCTCAGTTAGACACTGTGCATGTGTTATGCTTGCCAAAAAACAGATGCATTTCTTCACATATATACACAGTTTTGCAGAAAAAGAAATCTTTCCCTGGATTAAAATTTTCAACACACAGCTTTTCTGTTTACTCACAGGCCCTTCAAAAAGACTGTATAAATCAGTTGTAAAGAACCTCTTTTCAGCAGGTAAGCTTATTTTAAGAGAGGCTTTCAGCACGTCAGGCAATATACAACATTTCAGAGACCAGGTTTTTTGGGGGTTAGGTGCCAAATACCTGACTGCCCAAATGAAAAGAGGCTTTCAGGAGGCCACTTTGCTTTATGCATTACTTCTTTTTTGATTTGTGAAAATAAGCGTCTTTACTGTCACCAGATTTCTTCCAAGTAACAGTTAAAAATGAAACACTGCCATTCAGCACTTTTGAGATACGGATTTAAGATAGATCAGTTCCATCACAACGTGGTCTTGTTTTCTGTATAGAGAATGCTGAAAAAAGGTTACATGACAGCACACGTTTGCGGTACTGAAGACCTGGGCAACACCTAGGGCTGTCACCAGCACAGCTGACATCACAGCACTCCAAGCAGGTTAATCTTCTGGAACGTTAAGAGTTGCCATTCTCAGGATGGAGCTAATCTAGGATCTTTTCCCCCACAACAACTGGTATTGGCTCTTTCAAAGGAAAGCATTCAAAACAGCTGTGGGATAACCTGATTCTGTATTAAGATTCAAATCAAATCAAATCACTGATTGTTAGAACTTGGTGAAACCTTTGCACACAAGCTTTACTTTTTCACCCCAAGGTTTTGCCTTTATGAGTTATAATAAGGTATGCTCATGGTGGCCGTAACAAAGGACCAATCCTGCACTCAGTACATTCTTGCTCCCAACGAAGCAACAGCTCAAAGTGCCCAAGACAATATGTGCGCAGGGAAGCACTGCTTTCTCTGCAGGGGGCTGCAGGGCTACAGGACCAGTCTTCCAACCACAGCCACCTCCACAGGCAAAAAAGCATGGGTGGGCAAAATGGTGGATCCAGCCAGTGGCTAAACTCCATTTCCCAGCAGCCCCTGTCCACAGTGTTATCCACAGAGACCCCAAGAGAAGCAGTACTGTGATAGTGCCCGGGTTTCCATGGAGACCACCCAAACAGTGCTGACAGGGCATGTGGCTGGGCAGGTAGCCCCTCTGAGGCAGGGGCTGAGATTCTGCAGCAGTGACAGTGTGGTCTGGAAGCGTGGCAGCCACGATCCACTGCCTGCATGTCCCCATCACTCCTGTGAAATTCTGGCCCCAGCTCCAGGGCAGCACCACAGCCCTACCAGCACTCTTCAGCAGGTCTCCACAGAAACCCCAGCTCCACCTGTCGGCCCTGGCACTCCTGGGGTCTCCTTGGAAACCCCCGCCCCGCCCTTCCTGGGTTCTCCATGGAAACCAGCCGCATCCACGTGGGCAGGGACTGCTAGGAAGCCGGGGGCTGAACTTTGCCCACAGACGCCGCGGCTCTCTGTGCGACACCAGGGCCAGAGCCTCTCCAGCTATTCAGGCTCAAGGCGCCGCCGAAGATGCGGGCTCTGCGTTCCCCCTTTTCTCTACCCCCAGAACACAAAGGCAGCAGTCGTTCCCTATCGCCAAGGCAGCAGGAGGCCCGGCCCCTTCTGCAGACGCCCGGTTTTCGACTGTGGCCTTATCCGGCCACGCCCCTGACAGGCTCAAGCCCCGCCCCCCGCGTGACGAGGCCCGGCCAGGAACCCCCGCCCTGCGCCTGCAGTGAAGGGAAGGGCTTTCTCCCATTACGGCCATTACTGACTGCCCCTCCCCCCCCGATCCCGGCGGCCCAGGTTGAGGGAGTCCCCGCGGAGGAGGGAGAGTGGGCAGGCCCGGCTGCTGCAGTAAGGTTGCGAAGCGGACGCAGCCCCCGCCCGGGGCCTCCAAACACGCGCAACTAAAAAAGTGGGGGAGGGAGCACCCTACCCGCGCCTGCACCGTGCCCATGGCTGCTGCAGCGCCGGGTGAGCGGACGGGCGGAGGCCGCAGTGCCTCCCTCAGCGCCTGGGCACGAGGGTGACTCTGATAGGCAGCGCGGCGCCCGCGCCCATTGGCCTGCAGGCCAGAAGGGACGAGGCGGAGGAGCTCGGCTTCCGGAAGTGGCGTGTAGGGGAAGCCCCGCCCCCAATCTGCCTGCTCCACGCCCTGCCTCAAGGTCAGGGTAGGGAACTCCTGCAGGGGCGGGTCCTTTGGACACCTGGATCTGGTCCCAGGGGGGCGGGGGAGGGGCTGTTAGGAATGGTTTACACCCGGGTTTTTCAGCCAGGAGGTGGCTGGGGTGCCAAGGGATCCTGGACAAGGTCAGCTAGCAGGAGTCCCAAGAGAAAGCCTGATATCAGATGAAATATATTAGCTTTACACAAAGACCCTTCCTTGTCTGGTTCTCTCTTTAACCAACACAGCAACAGCCAACACCCAAGAGAAAGCTGGAGCTTTTAGTCTGTAGCTGTGGGTTTCCCATGTTCTTTGCAACCAAAAAACTCCACTATTTTTCCAGAGGTGAAAAAAAAGGGCAAATGAAGAGCAGGCATTTTGCAAGGGCTGCCACAAGCCTGTTCAGGGGTGCTGCGAGTCAAACAAGATTGAAAACCACTGGTTTAAACAGTGTTCAGATCCAGTCTTGGCTAGGTGCAGTGACGGCACAAGTTCCAGGCCACCCCTACTCCCAGCAATGCCACAGCATCCCACTCAACCCCATTACTTTCACTCAGAAAATTATGAGACAGGAGAGTTTGGAGTAGGGAAGTGAAACCCTAACCCCTTTAGCCAATAGCCCCATTTTTAGGTCAACGTGTGGAAGGTACATTCAAAAGTAGTGCTTTTGAAATGCATTTAAGCCAGATCAGTTAGCGTGTCCTAATTTGCTGTATCTAGTGGCTATGAGAATGCTGAAAGAACATTTGAGCACAAGTTCACAACACTGTTAAAGACTTGGGCAATACCTATGGTTGTCACCAGCACAACCACATTTGGAAGATAAGTTCAAAGGTTCCTTTTGAGAGAAGGATTTTTAAATGTGTGGATAGGTAGTAACAAAACTGTTAAAAATAAAAGGTAGCTTATTAGCGAATCAGTATTATGTGACAAAACAGAGGGAAACACAGCTCACATAAGTGGCCTTTCCTGTGTTTACTGTATATCTTGAGTGGGAGATTTCATGTCACAAAAAGTTACAGGGCTGGTACAGCACTAACCTTCCCAACATGAGCACAGTACAATTGATGCAGAAGCCTGAAGCAATTACTCCAAAGTGTCAAGTCCCAACTCCTATCAATTTGACTGGATGGTAAGAAGAGTTAACTCTTTAACTGCTCCTCATCTGAATGGATCAAATGAGAAAAATGTTGGATGCTAGATTAGGAGCTGGGATTTGGTCTAAGAAAGAAACCAGATGGAAAAAAAAAAAAGACAGAGAAAGGAAAGGAAAAGAAATCAGAATGGAGGACAAAGAGAAGCAAAAGACTGAAACAAGAAACTTTGAGTTATGACATAGAGATCATATTTGCAATCCTCTTGCTATTCTGTTATGTATGGTATATAAAGCTAATGAAATATAAATCACACATACACTTTGGTCTCTTCTCTCAGTTTGATATAGTAATTTAAAGGAGGCAAATTGTTATCTGTCAATTTTGGGATCAGCTCATACAGAGTCCAGTCAATGACAAACTTTCATTGGAACAGACCCTGGGCATGTTTTTTATGTGGTTCAGGACCTCTGTTTTGTTAGCAGACCTTTATTCCAAATGCAAACTGCAATCAGTAGAATTTTGCGCAACTAAGATGTGAGAAACCTAATTTCTCAGAAGCAGAACTCCAAAATAGTCTCAGCTCCACTGTGCTTTTGGCACTGCTTGTATTTGTTTGACAACTTTTCTATTTCAGCAGATATCTAGGCTCCCAAGTTTCGAAGCTCAAGCTGAGGTTGCCTGCAGGGAAACAGAAACTAAAGTAAGGAGAGGGAGGCGGAAGGAAGGCTCTCATTATTGACTGTGTAGCTGGCCAGTGACTGTCATCCTTCCCTGAGGTCCCTTCCAATCCCAGTGCTCTGGGGGAGGGGTGGAAAAACTGCATAAAAGGCAGCATTGTTTCAACTACCCTGCTTTGTGCCTTGGTGTCATTTGAGTGAGGGTGCACCTTAACACACAGTCACACACCCATGTCGTGAGTTTTGCCTGTCAGCAGCCAGAGGTGCAGGGCCACAGAACCCAGAAGCCCTGCACCTATCTCCTTGAAAGCTGGCAGGCTTTGTGGCCTCAATAGGGGCTAGCAAGCCTGCAGCTTTCACCCTGCTGCACCTAAACACAAACATGTGACATGAGTTTTGCTTTCAAGACTTTGAGGTACAGTTTCCCCGAAACCCCTGCACCTATCTCCTTGAAACTTGGCAGGCTTCATGCCCTCAAGGGACTACCATTCCTACAAATTTCATCCAAATCAGGCCAGAAATGACAAAGTTATAGGCTATTTTGAGCTTCCCCATTATAGCCTATAGGTGAAATGTTGAAACACCGAAACAGTGAAACAAAATGAAACAGAACTGCAGTTTCAATTCAAAATGAAATTCAAAATGAAATGCTGTTCCATTGAAATGTTGAAATGCTGGTCAAAATGGAACAGTGCCGTTTCACACAGCCCTAGTACCTACCTCTACCCTTTGAAAAAACAGAACAGGGCTCACTGTTTTAAAGAATGACTACAAGTGGTATTGGTGGTACTGGCAATAGCTTTTAATAAGAGCATTAACTAAGAGACTGATTGAATGCCTTTCCTCTGCCTAAGGGATTATAACCATCAGACTAATCACTAGGCTGGGTGAAGGACACCCTTCACCTCTCCTGCTGAAGCTATGCCCAGAAATAAAGGTAAGATTCATGAGGGCAGAAAGAGTGCAAGAAGGAATGCGACTATGCTGCTTAGTGGTTGGGGGCTCACCTGGAAGAAGTGGGGTTAGGTCTGAGGTCCCTCTTCCTGTTGTTCTTTAATACAATCATTGCACAATGTATTGCAGGGACAAAGACCAAGATCTTCCATCCACACCTTCCCAGGTGAGTACCATGCCACTGGCTAAGGATTTGGTTGTTAGGACAAACCCTCAAGGCATGGGAGATGTGGGTTTGAATGCCTTGCACTCAGCACTCCCACTTCCTTGATAAATGCACTAACCCATAGTTGTTCCATCAGAGAAGTACACCACCAGCACCTCTACAAAGTGGTCACCGTTGACCTTTTAGTACACCTTCCACATCAGTTTCCTTAAGGGACATCAGCAGGGGACAACCCTGTTTCTGGATCCTAATTAGGTTTTGATGGAGCGAGTTCCAGGCATGAACAGAAGCAAGACTTATGGTGCCCAGTGAGTTTTAGGCACTTTCTGGGATCACCTGCTGCTGAGCAGGGGTTTTAGACTGCAGTTTGGTATTTCATTGCTTCATATCTCATCATTTCTACAGTTATCCACTCCTGCTGTGATCAAAGATATAATTATATCTGATATTGAGCCAAAAAAAAGAAAACGGCCTCATTCCATACTAATCTCACCCTTTGCAAGATATACCCATATTTTAACCAGACATCCTCTAAAAATCAGGGAAAAATGGCTTCAGTGAGATTCAAGGGTACATTGATGTAACAGTTTATGGTGTTCCAAGGACCTTATAAACTTTGTTCTTTTCCATTTTTGGCTGAATACATATGATAGGGTAATTTCATCCTGCGCTATTGGATGAAACAGCAGAGAGTATATCGGGGGATAGGGGGCATTATTCTTCCAAAACAGATTCTAAGAATAGTGCTAATAGTGTTCTTCAAAGAAATGGTTACATGAAAACCAGTCATTTCACAATCTTGGCAACCTTTTTATTTCAGGGACAATTGGAGCCAAATATGGCTTTCAGTCTTCAATTGTTCCTCTCCAATTTATTCACAATACTGTATGCACACAGATTGCAGAAGTCATAGACTACCTAATCACTTCCACTTGAGGACCACTAAGCCACTTCAGATGCTCCCATTTTGTTAGTAGCATCTATTGGCAGTCTTGGTATCTTGAGTTCTACTAATCTGTCCCAGTGTTGTTCATTTTAACCTTGTAACCTTTTCCCAAAATAACATGCTGAAACATTCCTAGAGTTTTTTTTTTTTTTTAATTAGCAAGTTACTGAACATTCTCTATTGAAAAGGTTACCATTACATGCTCTTCACAACTGATAAGAGCTACTCTCCACATGTTATAAACACTTAACATTGTTAAATGCTAGAAACACAAGAAATGTCTCAAGGAGAATTTAAAATATTTATCAAAATCCAACACAGCTTTGAATTTAAGATGACCCTCCCCACAATAATTAAATTCTATACATGGGAAATGATAAAGGTATTACAATTTTCCATGTATAGAATCTAATCAATGAAGGGTGGGGCAGGCAGGATGATCCCTGTGACTTGCTCCCTAGTCACTTGGTGCCTCATGCCTCTGCTCCTGCTGCCAGTCCTGTGTTGGGGCCAAATTAACAAACCACTCAATAATTAGTGACACTACCCCAGATGATAGGCAGGCAGAGAGTGAGGAAGGACCCAGGCACTGTTGTCTATCATACAGCACCTGGACCCTGACTAATCCTAAGGTGAGACACACAAATTAAGTTTACAAATGCTCGGTTTATTAACAGCAACAACCAACCATAACACTATCAGCTATCTATTATCCTATCTTATGATCCTATAATCCTATAACTCTATACAATGCACAATGATAGGGGTACACAGACTAACACAAAAGGAAAGGAGAGGCAATATTCACCTCAGAACACCTGCAGAATCGCACACTGGGTAAGGCAACAAGTCAGTGGCAACTCTGACCCTAGCTTCTGGTCAGCAATCTGTCTTCCAAAATCCTATGAATGCATCAGTGGGGAGAGATCTCCAATAACTGCCTCCCAGGCACTCAAACACATTGTTCACTTCTCAGACTTCACTCTCATTCAGTGTTTGGCTGGTCCACAGACAATATATATACCAATAGGC